CTATCCATAATTCAACATTAATAAACACTGATAGAACAGTGTTTATAATCCACTTACGATGTATCTGTGACAGATGAAATTGATTAATTGCTCTCTTTAATGTAAATCACAGGAAAAGACAATCACTAGCAAATGAGCATAATATACTCTTAGTTAAAAGAAGAGGTACTGCTATAGGAAGTTATTCTGTGAAAATTCTACATAAACATTTAAAATCAACTATACTTATAGCTTGTTTTTAGTTAAAAAAGAAAAAACAAAACAAATTATTAGATGAACTCATAGTATTCTGTAATTAATGCTATTCTAGAGGACAAATCAACATCCAGCTGAAGAGGAAATTAGGAAAAAACGTTGGAAGTGGATAGGACATACATTAAGGAAATCACCAAACTGCATTACGAGGCAAGTGCTAACTTGGAATGGTGAAGGGAAGCGGAAAAGAGGAAGGCCAAAAAAACACATTACGTCGGGAAATAGAAGCAGATATGAAAAGGATGAATAACAACTGGGAAGAACTGGAAAGGAAGGCTCAGGACAGAGTTGGATGGTGAATGATGGTGGGTGGCCTATGCTCCTCGACGAGGGGTAACAGGCATAAGTAAGTTAGTTAATAAGTAAGTAAGTAATTAAGCTTTGTATAAATTTGTCGAAGGAATCAGTTTTATGAAATTTCTGATATTATGTCATTCTCATGAATGTAATTAGTCGATAAATAACTTCCTAACATTACGATGAATAAAATTTTAAGAGATTATTCGCTGACTTACTTACGCCTTTCACCCTCGTTGAGGAGCATAGGCCGCTCACTGGTAATAGCTATTCAACTCTCTCCTCGATAATCCTTCCCAGTCGTTTCCAGTTGCTATTCATCCATCTCATGTCTGTTTCTAATTCCCAATGTAATGTGTTCTTCGGTCTTCCTCTTTTTCGTTTCTCTTCAGGATTCCAAGTAAGCACTTGCCTTGTGATGAATTTTGTTGATTTCCGTAATGTATGTCCCACTTACTTTCACAGTTTTATCCGATTAGTTACAAAGATTAACTGATAAAATCGCTTTATTACAGAGCTAGAAGTTTATATTTTGTCAGATAAGCTTTAAGGAAGTGGGTGAGACTATAACTTATGGGCGACCTTTGAGTAACGTTAAAATGACCTTGGATTGTCCACATACTTATTAGGGACAGATAAGTGTTATATATTAGTTTAAAGAATTATGACTAGAATTGACAGTTGGACTTTAGGGCTAGAAACTAGATTCAATGTTTTCAACTGACATCAGTTATAATGCCAAAATGATATTCATCCAAATGATTAAATGAATTTTGCGCCAAAGTAAAAAATCTGCTACCTTAAGTCTGATTAGATCGTCCATAAACTACAGTCTCGCCGGATTCTAGTAATGAAAATATTCTTTTCTTCATCAAACAACTATAAATACAGGTGTACAGCTTTAATAAATGTTTTCGTTCAGCGATCGTTTTTCACTGAATTCTCTCTATTTTTAGACATGTCTTTTATAAAATTGTTACCTCAGCTCATTTATGAAGAAATATATTATTGAACACAACGTAAAGAACAGCATTAACAAAGGAAACTTCAAACATGATCAAGCTGAGAAGATTATTCAAAGACTTAATGCATCTCTAAACAGCACTCTTCGCACATTAGAGTGGATACCACTATGCACAACATGATACCCAGTAAAGTGAATAGAAGTAGACAAATACTCATATAATGTCATCACCACCTGAAATTACCAACTTACACACCAGTTACATGGGACGGACGGATACTAATGTGAACGACTACGTGTTTTAGCTAAAATATACCTATGAACTTTTATATAAGCGAAGAAACGAGTAATCACAGTTTAATTATAGACCGCTAGTTAGACACGAAAAACGAGATGCTTATGATCTACGAAATTAAAATAGTTGAAAGCGTGAGTCAATTGAAGCTAGACCTACATGGAAAACCTGGAAGCACTGGACGGCCGCTTCGTCCTACTGTGGGACTCCTCAGCAGTGTTCCCAGGTTTTCCATGGTGGTCTATCTTCAATTGACTCACGCTTTCAACTGTGGAAATACTAAATCTCCACAAAACCCCTTCTGAAATTAATATAACTAATAAACATTACAACTTTATTCTGCTATAATTAATAGAAGCTATAACACAGTTAGGAAATTAAAACTTGACCTTTGTATTCAAAAATAGTTTACGGTTAACATTCAACTACCTTAGGAACAAAAGAAAAATTAGTGTTAACCATTTGATTTTCATTTCTCATGAAGTAATGATTACTACTCAATGATTTCAAATCAGTTTTCTATATTAGCTTCTCTATATTCTAAATGAATCCTTTCCCATATATTACGTAACACTATTCTAAAATTATCACTGTAATTATTTACTTGATTACTGTTTAAAATGTAACCCTCTTAACAATTTTAGTGATGACAACTTAATTAAATAAAATTCCATATTAACATTTTAAACTAACAAAAACTGATTAGGAAACATAATACGTAATATATGCATCGAATACCTGTTTCATTTAAATTTATATAAGTAACCAAGTGCAAAATGAATTATTATGAGTTATTATCAGAAGGGGTTTTGTGGAGATTTCAGTATTTTCACATTTGAAAGCATGAGTCAATTGAAGTTAGACCACAATGGAAAACCTGGAAGCATTGGACGACCGTTTCATCCTACTGTGGGACTTCTCAGCAGTGCGCATCCACGATCTCGCCACGTGAGATTCGAAATCAGGACCTACCAATCTCGCGTCAGATTATGAGTTAAACCATTGTAAAGAGGCTTCAAATGTATATGACGGTGTACTTATTAGGTCATCTGGAAATTCATCAAGAATACAGTATCACATAAATAGTTTGTTTTTACATTTGGAACGTTAATATCTTTGAAAGTATTGGAACTTGGAAATATAAATATAATTTATGTGATTGATCTCTCTCCCTCATTATCTCTCATTCATTAATTCTCTCACATTGAAAGCGATCATCATCTGAGCTACGATAGAACGATACTAATACTTAGGTCAAATGAATTCAGATTAATATTTCCATCTCAACGATCTCATCAGAGAATGCATTTCATAATACAGATAATTACTACTAGAGTTAAAAGAAGTAAATCAACTCATTAGTCTTATTATTGATAATCCATGAGCTGCTATTTTGTGACGTTATTCTAATTTCAAAAAAACAACTGCTGTTATTCGACTACCACTGAAAAGTAAAGAGGAGATAGACAGTTGTTTCATCACAGGATGAGTCTCCTCAGCTGTATATATACATGTAAACTTGTCAGTTGTCATATTGAAGATACGCAGAGAGGAATAAAAAGGTTGACCACATTTGAGTAACACAGTTATCATTTTCATGGATTAATAAGAACAGTTTTTAATCTAATTATTGACGGTATTATATTTCCTGTTCACCAGCATCGTTATAGGTCAGTAGAGTTATCCGATGGTTGAGCATGCAAAACATGTATCACAATACGGTAATTAATGGCATTCGAATTGATATACTAAGAATCAATGTATTACTTCAATTTAAGTCAGATAAAACTCATGAGCAATACTGAATGTAATATATTTGGGATTCGAATTAGAGAGGAATCACTACTTAGTACAAATACCAAACTTAAACACCTCAGTCAATAAAGATTCACTACTTTATCAATCGATTTGCTATTTTAACCTAGATCCATGTGTTAAATATTAGCATTATTCACTCGATGATACCAAAAATACGTAAGTAATTCTTCGAAGACGTCCATGACCATATTATATACTCGATATACCAAATGACCACAAAATAGAGCAGAATAAACGATCACAGAGTGTAATTGTCTTTCATTTGGAAGCCACCACGAGTGATGAAAGAGAAAGTCAAAAGAAGTTTCTGAATTCTTACTGAGATTTTAAGCACTCGCGCGTGAGATCGATAGATCCTGGGTTGGAATCTCGTGAGGCAGGATCGTGGATGCGCACTGCAGAGGAGTCCCACATTAGGACGAAACGGCCGTCCAGTGTTTCCAGGTTTTCCATGGTGATCTAGCTTCAATTAAGTCATGATTTCATCTATAATAGGATATTATTATTAGTGGAATAACCATTACTTTTAGTATTATTAGATTGCCCCCCCCCAAGAGTGAATAATTAGTCTTCGTGATTTTCTTTTATCTACAATTTATTATGAAGCAAAATTTCATCAAGTACTGTATTCTCTAAAATGGTCGGTTTTTAATGACACTTATTCATAAAACCAAATTCATTGTCTAGACTCTGTTATCATTGTCTCAAAACCCTTGATTTCATAGAAATCTCGTTTATTTATTTTCATTCATAGTGTAAAAATAACCATAACTACTCTATAAACTGAAGTGTGTAGTTTATTATCTTTGTTACGATAACTACTCCACACAATACTACTCGTTAGGCAAAATCAAGATATTTCTTCCATGAAATGATTAAAATGTGCAGTGACACTTTTAACCAAATACCATATTTTAAAGATATGCCAAATGGCAACTAATTTCAAAATAAGGGTATATTACACTTCAAATAACTATGTCTGGGACTTTTTCTTATCCTAATTTTTTGCATCACGGATAGCATTAATTTCAATCTTATTGGTTGAAACACCTAATCAGATATCATTGGAAGATAACCTTTGGCTAATCATTTAAACTAGGGCAGATAGATTACCTTGATTGTCCTCTACTCTAGCTATCCTAATGAGTCATTCTTCACGTGGCCTAGGGCCAAGAGAAAGTGGATAGACATTGTCTATATACTATTACTAGCTAGACGATTATAATCAATAGATTTTTTAAAATCAATGATTTTTCGTCGAATCAAATACGAAAACGATTTATTTATTATTGACCAATAGAAAGATTTAAAAAAAACCCTACCTGTCCGGGTGTAGACATTTATAAACAAACCAAAATCTATTATGCTCTCATAATATTAATTTAAAACATCAGAGGATGACCGCCGAAGCGGCGGGATGTGAATGTATTCTCGATTTTTATTCAAATAATATATCAAGTCAAATAAATCAATGTAGCCCGGATTATTCTTGTAATATTAATCATCATGCAAATGATAACTCATGTAATTGGAATATTGATTATCCTAAAAAATTCTCAAGTTGGCATTATTCAAGAAATTATCAAGAAACATTATTCCCTAGGTATGGATTTAGAGTGTTTACTTTTTTTAAAAATTTAGACAAAGGATCCATGCTTTATATTTTTGGTTCATGTATCATGGTGATTATTTGTTTAAAACGATATCGATTTCTCAGAGCAACTAATGTTTTAATTATTTTTAATCGTAAAATATAGAGACTGACGGAATCTCGAGCACCATCATGGCTACCGAATGCTCTGACACGGCTAAGGGTGGGGAGAGTCCTCTCTCCTTTAAAATGCTGTCACGTGACCACGCCCACTCAGACATAAATAGGGGAGTCCTAGTCCATGCCTTCTCGCCGAAGTTGTTAAGACGAGAACCATATGTCCAGCATACTAAACGGGTTAGTGAATATGAAGAACTCAACGACGGGGGTTGAAAGTCCGAATTCCAAACAAATGGTAGACATGCGCTTCCGGATCTTAAAGTGATAAATAGAGTATGAACCTGTTGTTTGTCACCAACTACCATGGGACGGCATCTAACTTTGCCATATTGCCCTTTGGATTAGACTCCTAGGTCAAAGTCTCGGTGACTGTCCCCCTACGGGAACCACGTGCTTCGGTTTGGGCGTCCCGGCAGTATCCTAGCCCTCACACATTGAATTATTGCGGAGTATATATATATGTATATTTGGTGCCTCTTTGTATCAAAGGTTATGTGTTTAGATTAATAAATAAGTAATAAATGTCATATGTAGATGCATAGCCAACTAAATTAAGGAGTTACTCTTTTTTGAAACCTTTTTAAATTGTTCTCGGGATTATTTCCACGTGTAGGATACAATATTTATATCTCATCCTGCCATCTCAACAAATTTGTTAACTTTAATTCAGCATTTCTAATGCCTGACTGTTTTGTACTTATTTTAAAGCTTAATACACTAAAAGGAACTTGAAAATGGTATCATTTATACACTTAGGAATATAATGAATGATTGCAAATGAAGTCTCAGAAACCATTCCACTGAAATTAGCTTCACTCTAGTTGATTCATTTTAGACGGTATCTTTTCCTTTGTTGAAAGCAGAACTGGGAATTTGTAGAGGTTAGTAAACAACATTTATACCAAATTCAAGGTATTAAAAATTGTTCATTCTGAACAGGATTGAAACGGTTACCCTGATATTGTCGTTCTATTAAACTTTTTAAAATGAAATGATACCAGGATTTCTTACTATCTATACGTGATTTTGTCTCCCTGTGTACTCATACGATATTAAAAGGCATGTATTTTCCTAGCTCCTCTTTGTGTCACGTAAGGTCGTTTGTACATTAATTCATCTTCACTCCAGAGAACTGTCATATCCTGTTCTTTACAAATATTGGTCAGTAGAGGTAAGCATGACGGTATTAATTGAAATTGTCAAGGTAACCTAAACTGTTTTCCAACACCTCAGAAATATTTTTCATGAATACATCCGCTTCTATTCTGATTATAAGTATTAATGAGCGGATAAGTTTAAATATACAAATTTTTTGAATTGTAAACAGAAATAGTGTTTGTTTTCAAAATATTTTAGTTCTAAAGGTTCTGGAATCCAAACAAATTCTATACGCCCGACTTCCATGAGTACGGAGCATTTAAATCAAGATTTGTTAGCACCAAATGGATTATCTCAAGAGCCCATCATAACAACTAACACTTTGGACACTGTTATTCCTTGCTTAGATGCAGATTGCCTTTGTTCTTTGGGAATCGCTCAACATCAGGATCATGAGATTACGGAATGTAACAAATGTATAAAATACCATCACGAAAATTTACATACGTCTTCCGGACATATAAAATCTAACGTCAGCTCAGACTCCCACTCATTTATTATTTCTAACCCCAGCGCCGTTGCAGATACTTATGATTTATCTGATCATAGTCGTGATTCGTCTTATCCTGATGATCATTTCAACCGTATGGTACCTTCTCAAACTGAGTTACCTAATACCTGCTATGAGTTAGGAGAAGATAGACATGCTAAGGAAATAGAAGAAATTGAAAGATACTATGGGGGGCGTTTAAGAACTCAGCGCGCTGCAAGGATTATACAAAATGCCTATAGAGACTATCGTTTGAGAGCGGAATACGCACGATTGAAATTAGAAAAAGGAATCAGTCGTATACGAGAAAGAAACTCAAGCCAAATCGTCCAAAACAAAGTTAATTCCAATCACGTTCCAAATATAGGTGACTATGCGATTTCCAAACCTAAAGATGACGTTGATGACTTGGTTATCGAGAGAGCATACGTTGACTGGTTACCAGAAGCAGGTGTTAATCAGACTGAGTTACAAAATTCGATTAACAATGAAGCACATTTGGCTGACGGTAATTATCCTAAAACTCATCCTCATATTTCACAGTCTTGTACAGTTCCTCATACTGATAGTTTACCGACAATTTCTGATTCTCCACCTGTTCCCAGTTATTTGTCTCCTGCTAATACGAAGTCTAGTATCAATAATCAGAATTTAAGGATGTGTAATCCACACTTGATGCATTTTTCAGCTCCAAACTCATCTCTAAATTACAATAATGATCTTATTCAGATACCCAGTGAATATTTCTTCAGTCCTTCCACTAAACAGGTAACAGTATTTAACAGTCCACAACCACAATGGGTCAGTTCTCTTCCTAATAATTTTGATCACTGTTCAAAGGCTCAAGTAAATACAACCTGCGAACATTGTTGTTGTACTCGTCAACCTAGTCTAACTCAGCATTATGGTGTTGAGTGTTTTCCGAAATTCAGTGATATATCTCCGAGCGTAGCAGGTTCATCTGTACATAGAGGAGTATATCTCAAAAAGTGCTGTTTACCATCCAGTATTCCGAACCGTTCAAGTTTTCGTAACAATTGTTGTCCTTATTGTATAACTATCCCAAATTCAAAGACTACCTCTTCAGCAAACAAATTACCTGCTTTGGTTTGTTTACCTGCATCTAGAGCTCTCATACCACCTCAAGTTTGTAATAATGGATGTCCAGCAATTTCTTTCCCTGTGGGAAAAGTATACAAAACACCAACAGTTATTTCATCCTGTGTCCCTCTGAACAATGAATTACTGCAGTTGCATTCGACGCAGTTAGTAAATAATGTTCCACTTGTTCCGTTACACCATGTGGAGTCTCATAATATTAATAAAAGTGATTCTTCTCAAAAACAACATCCAACATATGTGTCTTGCGGAGGCAATTGTTGTCATATCCCTAATTCATGTCAATTACACATACATCCTTCATATCTTCCACATAACTTATCAAGTCAAACTGTCCATCCAACTATTGTAACTCCATTTTCCCATAGAAATACCTGTATAAATCGATTACCCAATGCTCAGGAGAAACGTAGAAAACGAGCTTATCGTATTGGTTTAAACATATTCAACAAGTAAGGAATTTTCAGTAATACATGTTGCTTTATTAATAACTTTTGATACTGTTCTCTTGAAACATATTTAGTTTTCGATTATTCATTTATGCACGAACATCAAGTTTCGAGATATTCAGAAGGGGTTTTGTGGAGATTTCACTATTTTCATAGTTGAAATCATGAGTCAATTGAAGCTAGAACACCATGGAAAACCTGGAAGCACTGGACGGCCGTTTCGTCCTATTATGGGACTCCTCAGCAAGAGTGGTAGTTCCTGGGTTCAAATCTCGCGAGCGCGGGATCGTGAACGCGCACTGCTGAGGAGTCCCATAGTGGGACGAAACGGCCATCCAGTGCTTCCAGGTTTTGAGATATATGAAGGGTTTGTAAAAATAGTGAGACTCTCTGGCATGCTATAAAATTAATTCTGTAAACCTTTATAATTATTTTTGGGATGTTGGGATTACAGTCTTTCCAGTTTCCAATTTGATTACATCAATGAATAGATTATGTCCACACTCGTACTAGGTATTATGTTGACTGTGACCCGTAATCTATTTAGTGTGGTATGACTTCTAAGGATGATGCAAAGTTGTACTAGCACCTATGTTGCTTATGACTTACCGAATATTTAGTGGTTTTGGCTGCCTATACTACTTTCTGCTACCCTTATCATAATCCTGATACATTTTATATCGGTTTTTGTAGATTGGATGTACTTTCGTGACTCACATTTATTCGTTAATAATTCTGTTCATGTCACGTATTAATAGCTACGTTTTTCTGTACCAGTATATCATTTTAATTTCACTCTCTTGGTCTGACTTTCACCTCGTACTTGTTTATCAATACAGTTTTTTGTAGTTTATCATTCAATAAGCTGTACGCTAAGTAGAACCTGACATTTATATACACCGATTCAAGGCGCCACATCTTATCAACATCGTGAGATGCCAAATTAATATAAGTATTCACAGTATTAGTAGTTGTCGAAAAGATTAGGAATAGATCAGATTCGAGAAAATATGGATTCTCGGAGCGAAAAAATCTCCAGATATTTAAGAAGAGACAAGTGGATGCATTTGCACTATTCCGAACGATTCTGAGCCATATTTTCTTAATTCACTAACCACTGGTTACGATGGTCGCGCCGATCCCAACCAGATGGTCTGGACCTATCATCTACCGAACATGTTTCTTTATACTCATCTATAGTTTTGTACAACTAAACGTCAATCTACAGATCCATTTCATGTGGTAGTGTAATAATTCTTCTATGATTAAACAATTAGTTACATAATATCACCTTATAATTTACACTTTCTTCAGTCAGATTACTATCATTTCATGTTTGTTTAATATCAAACCGTAACAATTTGTGTCATTTTGGTTAACTTTGTTGAAGTATTTAAATAGATGTAAGTATCTAGTTAGTATAAACAAATAATTTATTTACAATATAGGTCACCTGTAAAAGGGATTGATTTTCTGATTAAGAATGGATTTCTGGAGAATTCTCCACAGCTGATTGCTCGTTTTCTGTTAACCCGTAAAGGTTTAAGTCGGGTTGCCATAGGTGAATATCTTGGGAATACAAAGAATGAAATTGCCCAGTTGACAACACGGTAGGTTCTATTTACTGAGCAAATTGTTTTTTTTTTTAAAAATTTTTGTTGTTTCGTCGATTTTTTTAAAGGAAATACTGTATTTCCGATTTCTACCAGTTGTTTACTTCCAGTTTTTGTACAGTATTATACATCTTATGGCTGCTTTGAACTGAGTCCGTGTTACAGATATTACTAATTTTCGACTTTTCTCAGAAGATAAAGTAAATCAGGCCCTGGTACGTTTGAGAGTGGGGAAAGTCCGCTCTCCCTCTCCAGATGCTCTCACATGGCCACGTGTATATAGCCTCTGTCAGGGAAGTCCTACTCACTGCCTTCTCGTGGCGGGGTTGATGTTGTTTACGAAATCGAGAGGACGAAAAGCGAATGTCCGACACTTTAACCGGGTTGGTGGACACAACGAGTCCACCTAAGAGAGTTGGAAAACCCTGATTTGAAACCAAAAGTGCACATGGGCTCCAGTATACTAAGGGAAAAAATGGCTAACTTGGGACTGCATCTTACGTTGCTCCACTGCCTTGTGGGATGGACCTTTAGGTCAAAGACTCCGAGTGTGGCCCCCTAAGAAAACCATCTGCTTCAGTTTAGGTATCCGGGCTGTATGGCAGCCCTCACACAAATCAAATAAGATTTGTGTGGGGCATATATATCTGGTACCCCTTTGTATCAATATTTATGTGTTTAAATAAATAAATAAATATTGGGCATATAACTCGGAAAATGAGTTTGATGTTAACACAGTAGCGTGTAACAACTTTTATCTGTAATCGGAAAAATGATACGTGCGGTACATATCAACAATGTAGGCGTTGTCAGCTGTTTTATAAATTCAGTTTTCAGTATTTTAAAACTTTCTTCTAGGGACGATCAACATGTTGCATAGGTAATAAGGCCAATCAATATTCTTATTTTCTAACATATGAAAGTTTGTTGCTTTTAGTCATATATAAAGAGATAAACATCTAACTGTTGTATACAAAACGACAAGTTATATTCGTTTACCATGAACACAAACTGTTATTTTGTCACTATGAACTATGGATTATTGATTTGTTTGTTCAATGAAATGGGCGTATTAGAGTTAGATAAGTTATTTTAGTAGACAAAGGTAGGGAGATGTGATAGTTTTTGGGGTTATGAATGAATATAGACTATTGGCGTGTACATTAGTCAAAAATTGAATAACTGCCTTTTTGTTGTCATTCAGTCAGTCACAACGTAGAACTTCGTACGTACGTTGAGGCACGTATAATAGAAATTTATTTGTTATTATCATTAAAAACGGTCCCTCCCTAGAGAAAATTCATACAGATCCGATTAGTTTTTCTTCAATCTAATGAGAAGAAAACAATCTCAGATGTGTATTTTATTTTGTTTTTGGTCAGGGTTTTTACGAAATCAAACAATATTATGGTTTGTATTTCGTTGTCATAAATAGGGTATGTTATCATAATCTATAGAGCGTTTATCATGTACAAGCTTTTACACATTCGATTTTGATGCAATAGGGTATTAACCTGCTACCTGTTTATTGAAAGCCGAATTCCCTACCGTTAACTTATTTTAAATGGTGCGAGGTTTAACTTTTTTCATATATCTGCAATTCATAGCTGAAATGACTAAGTATTAGTTATAACTATATCTCCATTCCAATTAAATTGATAGTCTGAGTGTAGGTTTGTCATTTATGCAATTGGTTTGTTTCAATGTTTGATTTTCAATGTACTCTATTACAGTAAAATTAAACAAAAAACTAGTAAACAAATTATTTTTATCAGTATGGGGATTCGTGGAAATTGTAGTATTTCAACAGTTGAGTTGAGGAGTCAATCTAAGCTAGAGTACGATTAAAAACCTGGAAGTGCTGGACCGCCATTTCCTAGTATGAGGCTACTCAGCATTGTGCATCCTCGATCTCGTATGCGGGGCTCGAACTCAGGCTTCGGGTGCTTATATTAACTCGTGATTTTTAACTGTTAAGCTCACATTTAATCCTGTAGCTTCGTTTAGTACATAGAATAGCCAAAAAATTATATAGACTACTTAACTGTTTATTACGAAACCATCTAAGCATAATTATGTTGTAATACCTTGTTATGAAATTTAATTTAGATTTCAGAAAACACCTTATGAACTTTGTACATTTTTGTTGTTGTTGCTTAAGGTCATAGTTACAGCACATTAGACAGGCGGTTATATTGAAATATTATTCAATATTGATGATTCATACATATTGTTTTATTAAAGTAATGTGTAGACAAACTTTTTCAAACTAACGAAAAAGAAATGGTCAATAGATTTTTTTGTCGATAGTGTTTTCACATTTGACTTATACACATTAAATTCATTAGGTGGATAGCCTCTGTCAGGGAAGTCCTACTCACTGCCTTCTCGTGGCACCGGTGTTGGTTGCAAAATTGAGAGGACGAAAAGGGAATATCCGGCACTTTAACCGGGATGGTGGACACGGAAAGTTCACTTAGGGGGGTTGGAAAACCCTGATTCCAAACCAATGGTGCACGTGGGCTCCAGTATCCTGAGGGAACAAATCGCGTTTGAATCAATCGTTGGTTACCGGCTACCATGGGACTGCATCTCCTCACGATGCTCCATTGCCTTGTAGACTAGATCTTTAGGTCGAAGACTCCTGGTGTGGCCCCCTAGGGAAACAACCTGCTTCAGTTTGGGCACCTGGGCAGTATATCTGATGCCCCCTTTTGCCAATATTTATGTGTTCAAATAAATAAAAACTTTGAAAGCTCGGTGTTTCACTTTGTTCATTTGACTTTTTATTGACAAAATACTTTTAGACATTTTATTCGAGAATTGAAATTTCGAAACAAAGAAGTTGATGAAGCACTACGTATATTGTTGGGATGTTTTCGTACACCAGTAAGTTATTCTATTACCTTTGTAAAAGTTATCATTTTAACATGTCATTTTAGTACAAAGTTTAAATTGCCATTGGTTTCGAAATTGGTTGATGATTTCTCATTTGAATTTCATTATTTCATCCAAAAAACAACAAAACAGATATATGATACTTTTGATGTTTGTCATATATCATCTATAATGGAGACAAGTGATCGTATTGTTTGTGTAACGAAATGTTTGGAAACCTGTTTCGTACAGTCAATCTGTGAGTCATGTAGTTTATAAGGAATTGGTCGTGGGAATATTTTTAGCATAGTTGGATAGTGATGGATCAACTCAGTTTGCAATTCTGCTGTTAAGAATTCTTGTTGTTAAACAACTTTCTGGAGATTCGAAGTCATTTGAAAGTGTTTTTAGAAAAAAAACTGTTGGATAATCTTCAATATTCCTTGCATAATCCGTCTTTCAATAACCAGGCTGGTTAGTTTTTTTGTCGAACGCGATGATTTCACTCGACATCTGTCACAATGGCACATGTTTGTTTTTCGGACGATTGATTTTTTAGTTTGAATTTGTTAATTTAGTCCGTATCCAACCAATATGAACTGGTACAACGCTCTATGCTGACTAGTGTAGGGGATGGTTGGAAGAGAGTTAGGGGCGGCCAAACCAAAACGTGGCATCAGTTTTTGAAGTCACTAACTTTTATTCTGAGCCATGTTGGTAGATGCAGACTACTTGGTTGGGATCCGTGTGACTATTGTAATCAATGGTTGGAGACTCTGTGTGACATGGCTCAGAGTCGATCACAATGGCGCAGGTGTATACACTCTTTATCTTCCCTTAAACCTTGAAATTAAAATTGCTTCATAACTTTCTTCCATCTTGTACTATATCCTTATACACAACCTATCATTTATATACTACCACCACCACTAAATTGATTACTTCTATGAATCCGGTGTTGATCTTTTTGTGCTAACGAGGTATGGCAATTTAGACCGATGCATATATGTGCCTGGTCCTACTTTGTGACTGACTGAATATGAACTGGTAGACGATTCCAGAATGTTACCATTCTACTGTATATGATTGTTAACTATTACTTCTGCAAACTTTTATAGGATATTTATATATACTGGTTGCGCTTATTAGGCAAGGTAAAAACAGTGAATTCCTGCATCTTATAGTTTTATAATTTGTCGTTTTATATGTCATTGTGCTTTTCATCTTTTCTTTTCGAGCCACATTTAATTTTTCGGTACCACTGATAATATTACGTTTTCCTCTTCTCAATAGTCTTTCGCTGCATAACAGATTTAGGATTCTCTATCTGTTCTTTTTCTTGCTTTGTATGCATATTTACTTTCCTCTTTTTTATTTTGTGTTTACATACATGACAAAACTTTGTATGTCATGGTCAACTTTGACAGTTTGGATAGCTCTTCAATGTCTCACTTTATAAATAGTACTTTTATTCGTGTAATAATGGATGGTGATATAGACATACAAACAGGCTGATAAATGCTGAATTCTGAGGAGTTAATTGTTTTGTACTGAATATTTATTGCACGTAGTTGCAAAACAAATCAGGAAAAAACAATCGATTTTCAAAGATTCATTTTCCTGGTACTACTGGTGTCTTTCACAATTTTTTTGACAAAAATAACTATCTACTTATAAGTAGTTAAATAAATGTTTAGTTTTATTTGAGTACGATAAGCAAAATTGACTGTTAGTTTTCCATACCATTTTCAGGGTGAATCACAAAAAATTGTTCATCTATTAAATGAATTTCAATCAGCTTATGTAGAACAGAATGCATCTCTTGTAAAGTCACAATTTAGAAGTTCCGATACTGTTATGATATTAGCATATGCAATTGTAATGTTACATACAGATATGTATAGTCCAAATGTTCGACCACAATCAAAGATGACAAAAGAGGAGTTTGTTCGAAATTTGCGCGGTGTTGACTCTGGTAAGTAAATTGATTTATTTCTACTGGTTTCTTCGGAAAAGTATTTCTCTTTTGTCAACAGATTCCTGTTTTTTTTTATTGTCTTGGATCATGTCTTTGTATAAATAAATTTGATAGATGATTCAGTTGACAATGTACTGTTGTGTGGTGTCATAATTTTCTGTAGGCTGTATTTATAGTATCTGCTTGTTCTATGATAATGTACACGTGACTTGGCTTATATGGTTTGATGTATTCGTAGGTGTTTGTTAAGTCTGTTCAGCTAAAACATTCTTTTGCATGTCTAAAATATTGTATAATCATTGTAGTACCAAACCATTGATTTGTATTTAGATGAGTATTCCATGTGATTCGACATACCATTAGATACATAAAAGTTGATAGATTATTTTAATAAACAACGTTAGTTTTAACATGTAATTGCTGAGTGAAAAATACCGTGAAAAAGATTAAATTTCATTTGTGATAATTCGTTACGTATTTGGAGGATATCATAAATGAATGGTAAAACGGAATTCTGCATTTTTTCTCCTGGTTTAGCTTGATACTCTGGTACTGTGAACTTCTGCTTATGGCGAACTGAAAGTTGAGAATCTATAGTAGTGTTCGTTTCCATTGTCCATTTTTCATCTTTATATATTGAATTCCGTCACAACTTATATCTTAGAAGTCAAGTTTTCTCCACATAAAATTTTAGAAGTTGATCTCCCATGATGTTCAGTTATCATAATTGAGAATCTTCTGATTAAGTCGATCGACAATTTAAACATATTCATGTGATGTGTTTGCCTCCTTTAAAATGTAAATTGTTGCTTCAAAACTGGTCTGCATTATTGTTTAGATTGATCATAGAGAATGAAGTAATCGAGGTTCTTGATTATTCCAACTTAAAAGCTCCTTCAACTCTACTTGATCGACGTCTAGAGAAATATCAGCACAGATTTAAAAGCTCGCTTGACTTCCGCGAACTTGTAACACTTGCGGACGAAGCGTAATGTTCATTTCCCAATTAGAGCTCCATCAAATTGCATATCAATCCACTTAATAAATCGTTATGGCTGTAGCTAGTTGTAGTTGTGGTAACCTGATGAGGGAACTTGGGTTAAATAATGTTAGTGTTAGGCCTTGTTATGTATTGATGAGGAATGAATGGCAAAATCGTTTGTACGTACAGATTCAGTAACCAGCCAGTTTCCAAAATATGCAACAATCTTTTATATTTGGTGTAGGAAATAAAGAAATATAATCGTAAATACAATTCGCCGCCTCATTTATGCAGATGACAGTCAGTCATTCTGTTATTAAACATCATATTTTGTATTTCGTTATATTTTAAGGTGAAGATTTAGATCGAGATTTTCTGCTTGCTATTTACGATCGAATCAAATTCCAAGAAATGTCTGTACAATCAGACCATACAGATCAAGTTCGCAAGATACAAAAACACTTAACAGGTCCTCAAAAGCCTCTTAATCTATCAGTTCCTCAAAGGAGATTGGTTTGCTACTGTCGACTTTATGAGGTTAGTTGCTTTCATTGTTGCATCTATCATTCATAACGTTATCTAATTTGGTGTAATGAATAGTTTAAGAAATTGGAATTTATCTTAGGAAATTGCTTTTAGTATCTTTGAAATGAATCTAAGTGGACTTAGAAATGAATGGTTACACCTATCGTATGAAATTTTTATGTGTATTGAACCTTTAGCTATCATTTCTGTTAATTGTGAAGGCCGTTTATCATTTACAAGCTGCTATTACTCCCGTGTATTTGTCACAAAACAGCATAACAGGGTGTGAAGAGTAGAGTGGACTGAATAACTTATAAATTTGTCCATCTAACACATTTCAAAACATAACCTTGTTATCAACCTAAGCAGGTTTATCAGCAATTAATTTAAAAATAGTTCTTTTTGTTGTGTCCGAAGAATCGGTTGAGGTCATGAATCTTCATCGACTGAGATGGTTAGGCCACGTGATACGTATGCCACGACGGGTTATGCTGACTAGTGTAGGGGATGGTTGGAAGAGAGTTAGGGGCGGCCAAACCAAAACGTGGCATCAGTTTTTGAAGTCACTAACTTTTATTCTGAGCCATGTTGGTAGATGCAGACTACTTGGTTGGGATCCGTGTGACTATTGTAATCAATGGTTGGAGACTCTGTGTGACATGGCTCAGAATCGATCACAATGGCGCAGGTGTATACACTCTTTATCTTCCCTTAAACCTTGAAATTAAAATTGCTTCATAACTTTCTTCCATCTTGTACTATATCCTTATACACAACCTATCATTTATATACTACCACCACCACTAAATTGATTACTTCTATGAATCCGGTGTTGATCTTTTTGTGCTAACGAGGTATGGCAATTTAGACCGATGCATATATGTGCCTGGTCCTACGTTTTAGCTGACTGACTGGATTATCGGTAACTTCTAGGAACTATTTATGGACTGTTATTATATATATATATTCTCTTTGTATAACAATTAGGTAATTAGATTATGTATATTTATATTTCTCTTATTATAGACTTTCATTTGACCTTTTGGCTACTTTTATACGACCTACAATTCTTAAGTTATTCACAATCAACTAGTTAGTCTCTCACATTCACACTCACTTTTGGCTTTATTATGTGTGATTGTAATTTTTCATTGTATAATGTGATGCGGTCTGGTTTGTTTGTAGATAAACTACGCATGTCTGATATTCATACCGTGTATGCGGTATTGTGTTCTGGACTCAGTAGGCAGGTTTAAGGCAAGAGGAACCAATAACGACTATGAGTAGAATCTAGGCTACTCGTACTGTTTAACGATTCGTTGGTTTGGCACAATACCAAGGTCATATAGGTCGGTGATCTAATCAAATCATATTGAAAAGGACAGGATATAACACTCCGAATTACATAATTCTTTATTTTTCTATTTTAGGTTCCAGATAAAAATAAACGAGAACGATCCGGTGCACATCAACGTGAATTGTTTTTATTCAATGATCTACTTCTTATTACAAAAAGTGTTCAAAAACGCAGACGTGATGCATCAGTTGCATATCAAGTACGTATGACTATTCAATTATTCGGAGTAAAATTGGTCCCATTTGAAACTGTTCATCATCCTAATGGTTTAGAGCTTCTGTTACCACTTGAACAAATTCAAAATGTAGACTCTCATAGAGAAGTTGGTATGAATCATATTGTTGAAACCCCCAATGGTCGAGCACGTATCTTAATCACTTTAAATACAAAAACAAGTTCAGATCGTGCCAGATTACTAGAAGATTTGCAAGAATGTATACTGGAAGTCACGGAGATGGAGCGTTTAAGACGTGAAGAAATTTCAAAACAAAAGTATAATCAAATCCATCATCATTGTTCAAGTCATAAAACAGGAATAGACAAATCAGGAAACCATTCCAAATCATTTGACCATTCAGGTGCTTCTTTAAACATAAATAATAGTCATACTTATTCTGATCATGATCATGCTTTATCATCACATATTTGTGCACCTATAGCTTGTTTAATGAATGCTACAGAATCAAGAAATGCAGAACAAACAAATCATATGTCTGAATACTCTCAGCATTATAAATTACCAGATGGGCAAAGATTAAGTGGTGACAGTGGACTGATGGCTGATTTAGATGCAGTATCTTCTTAATTTAATCCAATCTATAGTAATACAATTATTCCAATTATAATTTCATTTTTATCCATTTTTTATTTAGAAATTACGAATGTTTCAAAAAAATGCTTTTATTCATTTTGTGTTGATTTTATCCGGGAGTTCCTGTAGTATGTGTGTGTGTGTTGCACTAGTCAACATATTTTCACTGTGATATTATTTTATGTTAATACACTTACTTCTTGGCAATAAAAAATCTGTCTTATTAACAAGTTGTTGCGAAAAATTCATCTGTTAACTTTGTACAAATATATAATTATGTTCATTTCAATATTGTATATATTCAATAAAGATTTTTCTTTTCATTTGTTATTTATATACTGTCTATTCAACGTAAAGTCAAAACAAGCAGGTTTAGGTAAGATTAGAAAGACAAGAGGGAGCTTGTGCTAATTCTTGATTACATAAGTCACTTTGGTTTAGTTATTGTGACAGGTTGCGTACTCATTAAGTTAGTATTTTCATCACTAATTTTACCGGTGATTTTATTTTAGTCGAAACAGGATATCTTAAAAAAAAAGTAAGCTACTAAGAGGTGTGTTGAGTATACATATGATTTTAGTCAACTGGTGTGGAACAAGCTGTTGGTCAACTTCCTAAGAAATTTTATACTATCATTCCGTCATCAACGCCAGACACACATGCATGGATCTGAGTTGCCACACCTCATTAGCACAACAAGATGAAAACCGAGTTCGTAGAAGCAGTTACTTCAGTGGTAGTAATATATATATAATACAGGTAGCCAATCTCAACTTAGGAATTAAATACGACTTAATGTCAGATTTAAAGTCGAAATTTCACGTTAAAGAGTCATCCCTTTTGTTCACATTTTTGCATTGACTGTTTTACTCTCACAGTATAACTGAATGTGAATAAGTTATTTTAACATAAAAATAACCATAAGTAGCCAAGAGGTTAGGCGTTTTCGCATGTATTCGTGGCTTTGGACTGCTAAGGAGTTCCGTAATAGCACGAAAAGGCTGCCAACTACTCCCAGGTTTTCAGTTGTGATCTAACTTGGATAGATCCATGGTTTTAATAGAATTTTCTACAAGGTGGATAAAGTCGTCAAATAAAGAGTAATACTTAACGGGTGCACTGTATGACCAGGAATCCTTCAGGAGGATTGTTAATTATCAGGGCTTGAGAGAAGAGATAAAACGGTCGGTCGCTTTCAAACAAGGGTATTACATGGTTGCATTATGGAGGAGTCTCTGATAAGTGATTGCCAGCAACTAGTTTGAAGCGATGTAGAATACCAGGACACCTTTTCTGTTTCATAGTTTCCAAACGATAACGATACATAAATTCTATCTAAGTTTTGAACACCCCATTATTCAGTCATTTCAATTCACCTTTGATTGATCCCTCTACTATTTTCTGTCAGGTTTTGTGATTTTAGTCATGTTATTCTTATTATCCATTAATCACATGCCGGTATAAGTTGTAGCATTTTGAACCGATAAATATTAATTACTAAGTTAGATGTGTCTACGCTTCTTGTTATTGATCATTTACTCCCTTCTTACTTTCCTAATTTTAAAATTTTCCTAGGTTGACTGTTCTAATGTAGAAAAATTAAGATTCTGTACCCATAAGAAAGTACGGATGTAACTAAGATCTCAGTCGATCTATCTGATTAAGCTGGACTAACATCTTGAAGAATTTCTTGGACTAATCCGTCTGGACCTGCAGCTGTCCACTACTTTAAATTCCCTACAGCTTCTTCAACCTCACCAACAGTTAGGCTTACGCCAGTTTGCCTAGAGATGGTGGGAAACTGATGAGTGTCCGAACGCCTGTTGAACTGTTCTGCACATCAGTCTACTTTCCTGGATTGAGAGTGAACAGTCCAGTCTTTCTCCGAAATAGTTTCACTAGTTAGCCGATTTTTTTATATTCGTTTCCTTGATAGGTTTGAACAGTTGTCTACTTTTACCTATCGCTGTTGTCTTTCCCATCTCTTCTGACTTCGCTACCCACCACTGCTCACGATCACCAGGTATGTTTATTATCAGCCTACGTTTAAGCTGCCTCCGTGTTCGGAACCAGACGGGATGAGTTTCTGAGCACCTATCAGTCTGTGGATGCCGCTGAAATTCACTGCTTTTTCCTAACCTTTTGATTCGTTACCAGTGCATATCACAGCTGTTCCCACAGGTTTTTAGGTATCATACCAATCTACCTCGAGGTGGATACCGTTTTCACGGTTGATTAGCTCTTTCTGTAGTTATTTATAAAGTATGTTCTCAACTTTCACATGATTAGTTTGAACTCTAAGGGTTTTTCTTGCTGTGGCATTTCTACTCTCCCTCTCGAAATGCTCTCACATGGCCAGCGAATATATAGCCTCTGCCTTCTCGTGGCGGGGGTGTTGTTCACGAAATTGGGAGGACGAAAAGCGAATGTCAGGCGCTATAACCGGATTGGTGGACACGGAGGGTCCACCTAGGGGAGTTGGAAAACCCTGATTCCAAACCAATGGTGCACATGGGCTCCAGTATCCTGATGGAACGAATGGCGGAAGAACCTATCATTGGTCAACGGCTACCATGGGACTGCATTTCCTCACGATGCTCCACTGCCTTGTGGATCAGACCTTCAGGTCAAAGGCTCGGGGTGTGGCCCCCTAAGAAAACCACCTGCTTCGGTTTGGGCACCCGGGCAGTATCACAGCCCACACACAAATGAATGAAATGATGAACTCTATTGACGATAATATCCCTGCTCATACTAAAAGCAAGACAATTTACATTATTATTATTATTACCTTTATTATTATTATTCACCATATCGCTAACTCACCCCCTTTTATCCCAAATTTGTTTAACCTTACTTTTCAACTTATGCAGCAGCTCGCCCATGGTGGAAAATCTGTCCTATCTAAACGATCTAAAGTCACTGTCTGGTTGAAAGTGAATGCTTCCACCGATAATGAATATTGAAGCAGTCTTTCTGAAACCACGTACGCCGTTCAAGCTGGCTTCCTTCAACGTTCGCACACTAATGCATATCAGACAACAGATAGGGCTGGCTATGTCTTTGGAAGGTCTTAATGTTGATGTTTGTTGTCTATCCGAGACCCATATTCAAGACTCTAGTGAAGTACTACAAATCCGCTCTCCATCTGTCGCCTCGAAAAGCTTGTTCCACGTGCGCTTATCCGGGGACCCTGTGGCATCTTCGTCTGGTCTTGCTGGCGTTGGTGTCGCACTAAGCGCTAGGGCTGAGGCAGCACTAATCGATTGGATCCCCATTAACAGTCGGTTATGTGCTGTTAGATTAGAAAGTTCCATCAAAGTTTGAAGAAACCGGCGTGAGAAACGGTGTTTTTTCGTCATCTCCGCCTATGCCCCGACAGATTGCAGCCCGGACGCAATCAAGGATGAGTTTCACCATAAGTTAACAGTTCTTCTCCAGAAAGCGCGTTCAACAGATATTGTAGTACTAGCCGGAGACTTGAATGCACAGGTCGGGCGTCTAGGCACAGAAGAGAGTCGTTTAGGTGGCCGATGGGGACTTGTTGGTCGCAGGACAGATAACGGGGACCGTTTGCTGCAACTGTGCACAGACCACAACATGTTTCTGGCCAGCACTAACTTCCGGCACAGTCATCGCCGGTGCGCCACCTGGCGTCCTCCCTCTGCATCCCAAGCCTGGACTCAGATTGATCACATCTCGATCAGCTACCGCTGGCGTGGCTGTATACAAGACTGCCGCTCCTTTTGGAGTACCTATCTGGAGTCTGATCATGCCCTGGTCTGCGCCAATCTCACCTTACTTTTCAGTGGCCGAAGGATTGACCACCACCAACGGATTGATATTAGTAAATTGGCTGAAACTTCTGTTGCAAGTAAGTATCGAGCGAAGCTAGCCACCACCCCACCGAAAAGTATAGATGAGCATTGGTTGCATCTTCACGACGCCATGAAAATGGCGAGTAAAGCCGCTTGCGGCTTCGCGAAACGTCCCACTTACAAGCACTGGGTTTCTTCTGGCTCCTTACAACTGATGGAAGCCGGTCGGTCTACTCCGGGTGACTGTGAGTTTGACCACAAACGAAGGCTGTTACGTAATGAAATCGGGCAAAGCTTGCTTAAGGACCGGGAAGCCTGGTGGTCGGAGCGTGCTAATGAGATGGAAGCAGCAGCTGCATCTGATAACTGCCGGAAGCTCTTCCAACTCATCCGAGCCACTGGCAGCAAGAAGTCTGGTGTGAGTGAAACAATCTACGAGGATGACGGGATGCCAATCACTAACATCTGTCGACGTCTTGGACGATGGGCGGAATTTTTCGAAGGGCAGTTCAACTGGCCTGCTGCTCCGGCAACACCAACCAGCTTGTCCTGCCCCCCATGGCCGGTGACGACTGATCCACCAAACGAGGCGGAAGTCCGCAAGGAACTCCAACTCTTGAAACGTTACAAATCACCGGGCCCAGATGACTTACCTCCGGCCCTTTTTAAAGATGGTGGTGACTTTCTGACTAAGGAATTGACTGTGTTGTTTGGAAAGGATTGGGAACAAGAAAGTGTTCCAACATCATGGAATGAGTCAATAGTCGTCCCTATCTTTAAAAAGGGTTCACGTTGTTCCTGTAACAACTATCGGGGGATAAGTCTACTTCCGATTGCGTCCAAACTATTGGCTTCTGTCATTCTTCGTAGGTTGTTTAAAACCCGAGAACGATTGACTCGCGAGGAGCAGGCTGGTTTTCGTTCTGGTCGAGGATGCACTGATCACATCTTCACCCTCCGCCAAATGTTAGAACACTGTCATACTTATCGCAGGCCAACAATCGTAGTGTTTCTTGATATCAGGGCGGCCTTCGATTCGTTGGACAGGACTGTTCTCTGGGATTGTCTATTGAAGAAGGGTGTGCCTGAGAAGTTCATTAACATCTTAAAGGCCCTGTATACGAACACCTCAGGCAGAGTGAGGGCATATAACCACCTTTCTCCCTTGTTCCATTCGAGCAGCGGGGTTAGGCAGGGTTGCCCAATCTCACCATTCCTCTTCAACTTTGCCATCGACGACATCCTGGAAACAGCTCTGGTGGATGTAAGTAATGGCGGTGTGGATTTGCTGCCTGGAGAACGACTTCTCGACCTCGAGTATGCGGATGATATTGTCTTACTGTGCGATAATGCCCAAGGCATGCAATCAGCACTTAATCAGTTGGCAATCAGTGTCCGCAGGTACGGCATGTGCTTTGCACCCTCCAACTGCAAAGTACTCCTACAAGACTGGCAGGATTCTAATCCTGTACTCACCCTGGATGGTGAGGAGATCGAAGTAGTTGAGAAGTTCGTGTATCTAGGTAGCTATATAAGTGCTGGTGGTGGCGTGAGTGATGAGATTGATGCACGTATAGTGAAAGCCAGAGCGACTTATGCCAATCTGGGCCATCTTTGGCGCCTTCATGATGTTAGTCTGGCTGTAAAAGGTCGGATCTACAACGCGTCGGTGAGAGCAGTTTTGCTCTATGCTGGTGAAACCTGGCCTCTCCGAGTTGAGGATGTTAGACGTCTCTCTGTGTTCGATCATCGTTGTCTCCGAAGGATTGCTGACATCCAGTGGCAACACCATGTTAGTAATGCAGAGGTTCTGCATCGTGTGTTCGGGCGCAGAGACGATAATTCGATTGGTGTCACCATCTTGAAACACCGACTTCGGTGGCTTGCACATGTTTTACGAATGTCGTTCCAGAGGCTTCCACGTCGTGCATTATTTGCCGACTCTGTGACTGGTTGGAAAAAGCGGAGAGGAGGTCAGTGTATGACATGGTGTCGTGGTATGAAGGAAAGCTGCAAAGGGCTAGCTTCCGTTGGTCCTTCACGACTCTCTGGTTGGGGTCCGAGAGATGGTGCAACACAGTGGCTAGAGACGTTATCAGATATGGCTCAGAATAGAAGCCAGTGGCGATCCTGCTGCAACCTTCTTTTACCTTCTATATAAAGAATGGTTGTAACTTTCCTAACTGAAAGAATCTTCTGGTTGTACATTTCAGTCCGCATTATCTTTTCATCCGTTCTCTTCCTACTTTCATTATTTTGTGTGGCGCATATGTACCTGGTGCCCTTTTGTACCAATATATATGTGTTTAAATAAATAAAAAAAGATGCAGAAAAAGACGTGCTCGAACTATAACATGGTTTGAGTTTAACATGTGCCCCGAAATGAGCGACACCCTTCTATCGAACCACCCCGACGATGGCTGATAGCAGTGTGATCGCCACGTGAGACGATGTCGCTCCTTATGTCTCAAGTTGATGTTTACTAGGAATAGATGATCATCAGAGCATAGTTGCAACAGACGGTCACCGTTATCTGTTTGTCCTTTTGCATATGTGAAATGCAATACATCGGATCAGTGGAACAATCCAATCTTAAGAGCACATCCTAAACATATAAACACCTAAAGATCAGCAGAGCTAACCTTAATTAGTGTAACCTATCAAAGCATTGAGAGGTAAAATGCCATATTTAGTAACAAAAATCTTTTATTAAGAATACTTTTAAATTGTAAACTGTAGAGATTTGCATCATAGAGCACCAAACAGTTTTTTTTCTAAAAATTATTTGCAATTGTTTGGTAGTATGAAGAAATAAAAAGTCCAAAAATATTATCTATATGATACTTAAGTTTAAAGCATTATTATGCTGGATTGTGATATATGCTTATATATATATATGTTAGAACTGAAAACTGACGTGCACCCATAAGTGAATTAAGATTTTACTTTCTTTTGAGTCGTTCTAAACGAGCTTCCAAGTTATTTTCATCAATAGGATCAATGGAATCAGAATTAGGCCCAGGTCCCGTTATTGGGGTAGCATCAGTAGCGACTGCATGAGGTCGGACTGCATTAGGCATTGTACTTCCAATCGTATCCTTAGCTGTTGGGAGATTATTCAACTGTGCATTAAGATCGATGCCCAGCTCTTCTAAAACCTAGGGGTTTCAAACATAAGCTTATTTAAAAACTAGAAAAATAACATCGCAAACTAGACCGTAATGGTCTTCGATGTACAAAGTTCAGGGAACATGATAAAAATGCATGTGACAAATTTATGGTCTAAGAGATAGAAAACTTTTGAATGTATCAAACTTCAAGATATTGTAAAATATATAACCTAAACTGGGTTGAGACAAATACCCCTGGAACTTACAGGAATTTGTTTATCGAACTACATAAACTGAGATGTTAGTAAAGAATTTTACATTTCCAGAGTGGCAAATTTTGACAATACTTAGAACTATATGAATACATTCGTAACAAATCACATATAATTGGGAAAATAACAGAAAACAAAGCCGGTGGAAGTTACCACCACAATCTTGAGCATTATCGATACTTAAAAATAAAGCTCATTTTTTTTATTACAATAACAATCTTGATGTGCCGATACTAATCATTCATTTTTACTGGCGAGATTACTGAGTTAGTTGGTTTTCAAGTTCCCTTCTACAGACCTCACGAAGTCGGAGATCCCCGACTTGTTATTCGAATGACAAGATGTTGTCAAACGAACAATACCTGGGGTCAGACGTTGCACAGTGTTATATTTTGTTATCTTGGTCAAATTATTTAAGAACTAATTATTATTTTATTTAAACACATAAATATTGGTACAAGGAGGCACCAGATATGTATGCGCTACACATATCTCATTTGATTTGTGTGAGGGCTGTGATACTGCTCAGGTGCCCAAACTGAAGCAAGTGGTTTTCTTAGGGTGGCCACACCTAGAGCCTTTGACCGAAATATCTAATCCACAAGGCATTGGAGCATCGTGAGGAGATGTAGTCCCATGGTAGCCGGTGGCCAACAATTAATTCCTACGCCACTTGTTCCCTCAGGATACTAGAGCTCATGTGCACCATTGATTTGGAATCAGGGTTTTTCAACTCCCCTAGGTGGACTCAACGTGTCCACTAACCCGGTTAAAGCGCCGGACATTCACTTTTCGTTCTCTCGATTTCGTAAACAACAGCACCGCTACGACAAGGCAGTGAGTAGGACTTCCCTGGCAGAGACTATACACGCGTGGCCATGTGAGAGGGCCATTTGGAGAGGGAGAGCGGACTTTCCCCACTCTCGAATGTACCAGGGCATTTGGGGGCTACGATCAGAACTTGCTGGAATTCTACCTCTCGAAAATGCCGTCTCGGCATGGAGTGCATGATTAGACTACGAATAAAAACCGACACTAACCTTGTTCACAACAGTTTCAGAGTCTTCAATATCATCCTGCTCTCCAATAGCATCATCTATCACATCCGACATCATATCCTGTTTCATTTCCATCGTTTCCGCTTGTTTTTCGAACTCCATCATGACCTTTTGGAACTGAGGTAACTGCATAGTTGCATTCATTTTTCTCATCGTTAGCGCAACCTGTTTCATAGCTGAAGCCATCGTGGCGGTTGATTTTAAGGTCTGAATTTTCATTGACAACGCCTATTATTAGAAAATACTCGACTGATAAAACGTGACAAACTGTAATATTTGAGTGCATCAAGGAAAACTTTTTGATGTAACTCTCTGTTCGAACCAACTGCTTCGCCATCACCCTGACGGCATCAATCTGACCACGCTTTGCCAACGAACGAATTTCATTTGTTATTCGAGTGCGTTCCCTCTCCAACTGACCTTTTTCTCTTTCTATCTCTCTAAGTGTTCTTGCAATAGTTCGTTTGCTATCTCTTAGCTGCTCTTCAGGTGTTTTCCTGGCTCCAAAAAGAAAACTCATTGAAGAACGTCCTCACGGAAGTAGCCCCGAATAGTAACGTTCAGATTTAAAGGAGCCTCTCAAAATTACCAGCTTATGATTTTAGGCATTAATGAAATAAATCAGTTGGTCTATGTTAGTCCATTCTGTAATTAGTTCTGTGAAAATCTAGTTACTCATTGAAAGCACTCATTTATCCACGTCTCCAAAAAAGTTCACAAGCCCAGAACGAATTACTTGTCAGCTGACTACCGACTTTCCCATCGAATAATCAACGAGTGGAATTCATTACCTCAGCACGTGGTTGAGGCTCCATCCGTCGACTCCTTTAAAAGAAAGTTGGATCAGCTGAGAGACCATCATTGCCAGGACTAACACAGGCCATCAAGCCTCCTGTCCTTTCCAAACTGAAACTGAAACTGATTTATGGGCTTAATGCAACCACTTCGCCTAATCATTCAAGGCGTTCCAGACGTCGACTTACTTACTAACGCCTGTTACTCCCAATAGAGCATAGGTCGCCGACCACCCACTGTCCTCATCCTTCCTTTCTAGTTCTATCCATTTTTTGTTCATTCTTCTCATATCTGTCTCCATTTCTCGACGGAAGGTGTTCTTTGGTCTTCATCTTCGCCTTTGACCTTCAGGATTCCATGTAAGTGCTTGTCTTGTGACACAATTTGGTGATTTCCTCAAACTGTGCCCAATCCATTTCCAGCGCTTCCTCCTGATTTCTTCCTCCACTGGAATCTGGTTTGTTGTCTCCCACAGTAACTTTTTGTTGATAGTGTCTGGCCATCGGCTCCGAAGCATTTTGCGTAGACAACTGTTAATAAACACTTGTATCTTCTGGATAATGGCTTTCGTAGTTCTCCACGTCTCCGCTCCATACAGTAGAACGATCTTGACGTTCGTATTGAAAATTCTGATCCTGGCGTTGGTTGACACACAGTTGTTTTGAGTTCCAGATGTTTTTCAGTTGTAAATATGCTGCTCTTGCTTTGCCGATTCGCGCCCTCACATCTGCATCTGATCCACCGTGTTCATCAATGATGCTGCCCAAATATGTAAAGGTTTCCACATCCTCCGAAGCTTCTCCGTGAAGTGTAATTTGATTGATGCATGTTGTATTGTATCGGAGAGTCGTGTTTTTCCCTTTCTTCATATTGAGACCTACAACTGCTGAGGTGGTTGCTACATTGGTCGTCTTTTCCTGCATTTGTTGTTGCGTGTGTGATAGAAGAGCCAGATCATCCGCGAAGTCTAGATCGTCCAGCTGCATCCTGCCTGTCCACTGTATTCCGTGCTTTCCTCCAGATGTTGACGTCTTCATGATCCAGTCGATCACCAGGAGAAAGAGAAAGCGTTAAAGAAAGCAACCCTGCCTAACACCGGTCTTTACCTCGAATGAGTCGGTGAGTTGTCCTCCATGGACGATTTTGCAGTTTAATCCATCATAGGAGTTCCGTATGATACTGGCTATCGTCTCGGGTACGCCGTAGTGTCGAAGAAGCCTCCATAGTGTTGTCCTGTCCACGCTATCAAATGCTTTCTCGTAGTCAATGATGTTGATGTAGAGTGATGTATTCTATTCAGTTGATTGTTCCACAATGATCCGTAGTGTTGTGATTTGGTCTTTACACGATCGATCCTTACGAAATTCAGCCTGTCGATCTCGAAGTTGGACGTCTACGGAATTCTTCATTCTGTTTAGCAATACCCTGTTGAAGACTTTTCCTTGTATTGACAGAAGAGTGATTCTTCTGTAGTTATCACACTTGCTGAGATCGCCTTTCTTTGGTATATTGATCAGAAGTCCTTTCTAGTCTGTTGGTACTTGTTCTTCATCTCAAATCTTACTGAAGAGAATGTGGTGTATCTTTGCAGTTGCTTCTACATCTGCTTTCAGTGTCTCTGCTGGAATGTTGTCCGATCCTGCTGCTTTGCCGCTTCTGATTTTTCCAATCGCCATGCTGATCTCATTAATTGTTTTTGGGCAAACATCGACTTAGGGGTCCGTGGGTGCTACTCCGATGTTAAGTGGGTTTAGTGGAGTTGGTAGATTCAAGAGTTCTACCCATCTGTTTGTTCTTCAATGTTGGTGATTACCTTTCCTTCCTTGTTTTTCACTGGTCTTTCTGGTTTACGGTAATTTCCAGCAAGTTTCTTTGTTGTGTCATACAGTTGTCTCATGTTCCCTTCTCTTGCAGCCTTTTTCGCCGTCATTGCTAAATCTTCCACATATTTACGTTTGTCGGTTCTGATGCTCCTCTTCACTTGCTTGTTTGCTCCTGTGTATTCAGCTTGTGTCTTGACTTTTTCTGCTATGGTTCGGCTGATATTGATTGCTGCCTTCTTGTTCCTCCTTTCTTCAATCTTATCCAGTGTACCAACAGTGATCCATTCATTATGATGGTGCCTCTCGTGGCCCAGAACCTCTTGACATGTTGAAGTGGTTGCCTCTTTTATCCCTTTCCAGTTGCTCTCCATTGAGTAGATCATGAAAGGTCTGGGACCTGTTGCTGAGCCTTGAATTTGTTGAGTTTGACAGTATCCCGAAGAAAAGCCGTATTGAACTTTTGTGACGTTGTCCGCGCCGCTGTCCAGTGCTTCTTAAGTTTTAGTTTCATCTTGGAGACCAGCAAATGATGATCTGATGCTATATCAGATCCTCTTCTGGTTCTCACATTCAGATGCAGATATGGTCGATTTGATTCTGTGTAGTGTGATCCGGTGAAATCCAAGTGGCTTTGTGTATGTTTTTGTATGAGAATATGGTGTCAGTTTATTGAAGGCACATAGGTTTGAAAATCTATCACCATTTTCGTTCCTTTCTCCCAGTCCATGTCGTCCCATGACGTCTTCGTATCCAGTGTTGTCCATTCCCACCTTGGCATTGAAATCTCCTATCAGAATGGTCAGGTCCTTTATTGGGCACTTGCCGATGATCGACTGCAGCCTATCGTAGAATTGGTCTTTAACGTTAACATCGTGATCGTTGGTAGGCTGATAGCATTGGATGACGTTCATTGTAATGCCCTCTCTCTTTGTTTTGAAGGATGCTTCGATGATCCTTGGTCCATGAGGTTCCCATCCAATAAGTGCATTTGTGCTTTTCTGGACAGCAACAATGCCACTCCTTGTGTATGTGGGGCATTTTCTTTTACATGACCGGGGTATAACAGAAGCTGCTCTGAAGATAGTCGTTGTTGTCCAACCTGCGTCCAATGTGTTTCACTGATTCAAAGCACCTCCAGGTTGTACTTTCTCATTTCTGCAGCAGTTTGGAAGACTCTTCCGGTTTCCCACATTGTCCGGACATTCCATGTACCTATAAAAGTTGTTGCTCCGGTTGTTAGAAGGTGCATCGACCTCATAACTTCCGAAGGAACTCGGCTTTCATCATGAGACGTTATAATTATTCCTTCTACTCCTAGTGCAGAGTTTAAATGGTTTGAATAATTTTTTTCTGGTTAGCGTTTTTTTAGCGAGTTGGTTTTCTACGGGATGGGGTCGCTAACCCCATGCCCAACTCTCCTCCTTTACCCGGGCTTGGGATCTGCAGTAGCCCCCGGAGGAGCTACAGGCGGAGTTAGACGTCGACTACACAATGAGAAAAATGATAACCTTGTGATGTAAGTTCGGTTTATAGGAGAGGGATTTTGCTAATGTAAAAGTTCTTACTAAGTCTTTCAACGCATGTTAATTAAAAAAAGTGAGAAAAACAGAGAAGCTCGTCATGAAAAAGATCTGTCTCTAGACGACAAGAGGTAAATAATCCTGTCTGGTGATGACACCGTAATAAATATGGTAAGTCTTTTAGAAATTGCGGAGAACCCTTCAGGGAAACTTCCCTAACGGCACGCACTAACGGAAACCGTAGTCGATGGACATAGTCGTCTGTTATACATCACTGATGTGATGACGGAAGTTCGCTACCTCAGAGACACTGGGGCAGAAGTTAGTGTTCTTCCTGCGAATCCCAACGACGGACTGAACGAACCAGCTTTAAGCTTACGGGCGGCAAACAGAAGACCGATCGCCATATATAGTAAGCGATATGTGTATCTTAACGTGGGTTTACGCAAACATATGCACTAGATTTTCGTTTTTGCAGATACTTCTATGCCAATCATTGGCAAAGACCTACTACAACACCGTAATCTACTAATCGACACGTGCAAATGGAGGTTAGTAGATGGCAATACTAAATTATCTGTTTATGTAACTTCCTTTACCGGCTGTCGATTGTCTTCAGTCACTGTTAGGCACATAATCAATCCTTACTATCAACTTATACTCGACAAGTACCCTGAACTGCACCAAATGCGACCCAAATTACCGTATGTAACCAGCAATGTTGCACATTACATCATGACTATAGGACAATCTGTATTCTCAAAAGAGCGCCTGAAAAGCCAAAGTTAGCTAGGAAATAAATCAACTACATAACAGACTTGGAAAGTACTCGGCCATTGGATAGTCCATGGGCAACTCCCTGGCACATGATCCCTAAAAAAATCTGTAATGATTGGAGCGCGCCTAGTGGCTGTTGGCGACTAAATGCGAAGACCATTTTTGTTTGTCACCCCTCGCCTCACATTCGTGATTTGACAGCTACCTCAAAATGCACAACTGTATCCTCAAAAATCAATTTGGTTAAAGTGTGAAATCAAATTCTTATGGCTGGTGACGGCATTACTAAAACCAGTATCATCACACTTTTCGGATTGCACGAATTTTCGCCTTTAGACTTAAGAAATGCTGCACAAACTTTCCAGCGATCCATCGGCGACGTTTATTGCGGTCTCAACTTTGTACGTGCATGTGTGGATGACTACTTGATCACAAGTTCAGATAGAGAATTTCATCTTCAGTATCCGGTCCTTATTTCCAAACGTCTACAAAAACATGGGATTACTGTAAACATTCAGAAATATCAGATCGGAATCGACTCCTTGGGCCTTTCCGGACGCACTGTTGATGCTCAAGGCATCCGCCTTCTGAAAGCAAAATAGCGGCCATTCATGATTATCCAGAACCGACCACAGTCAAGCAAGTATGTACGCTCAACAGCCCGGTAAGTCTTTATCGACGATTCATATC